CCCCAAAACCCCAAAACCCCTCAATGATAATTCTTATTTAATATCAGATTAAATACAAATAGATAAAATCAAAAGTATCATAATAATTTATATTAATACTTAATTATCAATTAATCTTAAAAATTGATCAAAAATGAATAGACAACTCACAGTGGAAGAGGAAATACAAAATTTCCTCCTAATTCATTGCTAATTACAAATGGAAGCTATAAAAATCATTTGGCCATGTCTGGAATAAGCAGGATTTGAATCTCTTGAAGAAATGCTAATCTGTGAAGAAAGTTTGCTTCAAGAATTAGGTCTTAAGGCTCATCACGCCAGAAAAATCGTATAATCTGCAGCATAATACAAGTGGCAAAATGAGTAATAAGACCAAGAAGAATCCTAAATAAATACATTTTAAAAGTTTAATAATCAGTCATCATAGTATTTTGACCAACCTTAAAATGTGCTTAAAAGGGATCCTTAAGAGATTAAAAACTCAAAATTTGTTGCCCAAGATGAGTTAAAAAGACATAAATAGAATGGTTAACAAAATGCAACATAATATCTGATCTATGAAAGCTTTAATGACAAAGGTTCAGAATACAAAATGAGCAAAACACGATTAAACGAAGAGGATTTTACAAAATTAATCTCACAGATCAAAGAAGAGCAACTCAACTATTTGCAAGTAGTTGGTTATTACGGGGACTTTGAGAGATCATTGACATATGCTTCTGCATTCTTAGATACTTAAATCTAGCTCCTTCCACATTTGGAATTTGACGAAGGTCTCTTGGCTATTAAACATAGAGAAAAGATAGCATTGATTTACAAGATAAATCCAATTGTATACTTTCTAAGAGATAGGAGTGAGGAGTCCAGTGTATCCTCGTCTCAGGTGTCTACATATATAAGGTATATGCTAGATGTCTGTGAGGCTATTTTCGTAACTCCTCCTAAGTTACTTAAAGTACTTAATGATAATACTACACCCTATCAGGAGCAAATAAACCCTGGGTATTACCTAAGAGAAGTAAATGTAAGTTAAATCGATTCTTTGAAGATCCTTAAAATTCCAGGATCTATCGGACACATATAAAATTTGGATAAATATATGGCGTTTGGTGACAACTCAAGGCACTTTCCTTCAGGCTTATTCAAAAATGAGAGGATAGAAGAATATATAAAACAAAAATTCTCAACTGATTTCATCGAATAGAATTCAAAGCAGTAGCAAGCTGCTTAAAAGAAAGATTTTACATTTGAATAGTTGAAATAATAGGTTTAAATTCACTGGCCTAAGTATGAGACAGTATTTTAAAACAAAAAAAATGAAAGAGTTTTGAAATAGAATCTAGATAAACTACTTAAAGGCTTCGTGGTCAAAGAAAATTAATAAGAATTTGGATAAAGAATCTAGAAATTGGAAGATTAGTACTTTGTAAATCATTAGAATCTCTAAGATTAAATTAAAAGGGATGAGCTATCAAAACTTAAAGGAATATTTGAAGCATTCTTTGATAGATTAGGAGATTCATCATGCATTGCATTTGGAAATGACTCAAACTAATATAGAAACGAATCTGATCCTCATAAGAAAAGAAAGTGGCTTCTAGACAAAGCTGATTATTATAGAGCAGCAAAAAATTAAAAATTCTCAGAGAGCTGCGATAAGAAATGTGGTAACTACCCTTACAAAGTATTTTAAGCAAACTACTCTTAGATGGCAGGATAGGCTAAAAAAGCTGGATCAGGTGGTAGTTCAAAACTAATAAATTGGGTGGAGCTAGAGAAATATTATTATTAAATGTTTGGAGAAGAAAGAAATGTTCTTATCCATAAGGATTGTAGGGATCAAGCAAAGCAAGCGATAGTCATACTTTTGGAGGATTTTATCAAATACAATGATAAGATTTAGGAGAAGTATCAAGAGCTCAGACAATAAGAAATGAGAAAAGCATTAAAAGATATTGAACCTCTTATCTAATAAAAGAAAATCATCCAAGATATAACTGCAGAAATCAGATTTATTTCTGCAAATATGATGAATGATACCTTGAACAATAAAAAAGAATGGTCAGTAAATATCTCAGATCTAAATGTCCTAAGGTATAAATTTGACTAAAATTAGGAACATGGACATAATATCAAAATTAAGAATATGCATTTCCTTAACGATTTCTCTGGCTTTATTTTGTTTCAAAACACCCCTATTAATAGATCAAGCTTATACTTCTTTAATACATTAAAAAGGGATTCAGATAAATTTGAGAATAGAAATATATAACCATCTAATGATTCAATTTTTGCTTTTGACAATGATTCTTTGAGATTTTTCTATTGCGATAACATTGATAAAAAAGCTACATTATCAATATTCAACAAAGATGGCCATATCATTGATACTAAATAACTAGTTCTGTATGACTTACTATCTGAAAATAAATTAGAAGTTAAAATTTTAGATGCCATTTTGCTCCCAAAAAATTAGAAAGCTTTATTACTCAATCAAGACCATTGCCTTTATGAATATAACTTTAAAGATAGAAATTTCTCTGTCACTAGAATTACTAAAAGTGTGAATGATGGGATACACAAAGATAAATTTATAACTGAATTTGTGTAGCCTTAAAATTATGATGAAAAATTTTTGCAAATTTAAGCTACTTCTGATGGCAGCAAAATTATTTTAAGGGCTACAAAAAGCATTGAGCTGTATGATCTTAACTGGAGCAGAATATAAGTTTTTTAATTAAACCAAAACTTTCTATTCATGAAGGTGTTCACAGATAAATTAAATCATTTTTTGATAATCTTCTCAAAGTCAATAACAGAGTGCCATCAGATCGGTTCATTATCATCTAAGACACTTTAAAATGATAATGTTGGACATAAGGTGAAGAAAGGTGATGGTAATCCTATTTTGAATTATTTTTATGAGGCTTTTAAAAAATATGGCCCTCACTCTGATTTTCTTGGCTGTCCTTCAAAGACATAGTTATACTTTTCAGAAGAAAATAACCCATAAAATGCATCTATTTTAGAAAATTACTTTAAGCTACTAGAAATGAAAAGTACAATACAGTTCAAAATAGCAAAGTCTTAAGATATTTTGAAAAGAGACTTTATTAATTAGAAATAATCATTCATTGATACTCATAAATTTGAAATGATCATGGCTAGTAGAGTTCCACTTCATCTAGCTACTATTGAAAATTCTACTCTTATTCCCTTATAAAACGGTCAAAATATCTCTGAGGCTATTGCAGAGAAAATTAGAGAAAAAAATGAAAAAGGAAACAATTAGTTAGAAATCAAAGACATTTCATAATTGGTTAACTTTGGAATCTACTAAAATATTATGAACAACGTTAAGGAATCTATTAAAGTAGTGTCAATCGTAGGTAGATAAAGTTCCGGAAAGAGTTACGGATTAAATAGAATATTTGGTACTAGATTCAATGTAGCAGCTACAAGGTGCACTGATGGAATTTGGATGTCATTGGTTTAGATATACCAGGAGCAGAATAGATAATCAAAGGTCTAATATTTTCTTGTTATGGACTGTGAAGGACTGTTTTCCGAGCGCAGAAACGAAGATGAAGAGATCAAACTTTGCCTTGTACTCTCTGCTATTTCCGATATGATGATCTTAAACTAAGACTTGTCTTTCAACAGGAATCTCAATTAATTGTTCCACAAATTTAGTGAAAATGTTGGAAAAATATAAGGAAATAAGCTCTTCAAGGGAAAACTGATGATGCTGATAAGAGATGTTAGATCTGATGAAGCTAAGCCTGCATACTCAGAGCTTAAATCTAATATTGAATAGCTATAGATAAGCAGATAAGATAAATTTTTCGGAGCTGTTTTCTAAGGAAAATTATTAGGCCAATGCTTGAGCTACTATCAGCAAAAGATATTTGGCTATGAGATAAACAACATTAGAGATCACTATTTTTTATCTAGCAAACATTTGCTTCAAAATAGATGGGATAACGGCAAAGATCTTGTTGATAGTCTTAAGATAGTGTTATCGTAGGTCTTTTTAAATGATGGATCTAGCATTGACGATAAGAAAAAAGATATCCAATGTGAAAATTAATAAAAGCAGTGCGAGGAATCATTCTTTAAAGGTGGTGAACTGATAAAGGATGAAGAAATTAAAATTGATACTATACTTAAAAAGACTGTGGTAATTGAAGGAAAAAGTATAGATATAGAAGTTGACTAAAAAGACATACAGCTAGATGAAATCGATTAGGATTCAGAGAATTCATAAATGCCTGCTCTATCTGAAAAAGTGATGGATACATTCAAAAAATCTGCTGGTGAAAAGAATTCTAAAAATCATGATGATTGGACAAAAGCATTAGACGATTTTATTTCCTCCTTGTTAGATCATAGAATTATGATAGTGATGCAAATATACATATAGAAAATACCTAATGATGGCAACTTCGAAAATATCGTAATCAAGCATCGGAAAAATCTAGAGAAAAAGGTGAAAATTTATAAGGAAGAAGTGAGATTCTGTTCTCAGACATGTAAAAAGTGCAATCGAAAATGTTCTTTAAAGTAAAACCATGGAAAGAATTGCACTTGCAAGACAGATCATAGATGTCATTTTTACTGCGATAAATCATTGAAATGTAAATAACAAAACATGAAATGTGACAGAAATTCGGGACATAAAGGTACTCATTTATGTGCACAAGGAGATCACAATTGCACTGAATAGTGCTCAATGAAAGAATGTATGTACTTTTGCACAGATGAGGATGGGCATGCAGGTGCTCATAATTGTGGGAATAAGCATCCATGCTTGGTAAAATGTTTGGACATTAAATGCTAAAGAACTTGCAAATTTGAGTAAGCTATTAAACATGATTAGCATATTTGTGGAGAAGTTAAGTGCACCCATAATTGCTCAGAGTGCGATTAGTAATGTTCATTCCCTAACCACCTTCACTAAACACTTATCGATAAGGATAATAAAAGTGAGTTAAAAAAAATTGCAGACAATGGATAAGAGATAATTCAAAATTACCACATTTGCGCAAATGATCATTAATGTAAAGAAATTTGCTAAATTGATGGAGTTTGCGAGAAGATATATGACATGTGTGAAAAATCTTGGGTAAATGAATTTGGAACTTTCAAGTATTAAGCTTTTGAACCTAGAGGAACTAAAATCAAATGCGAAATCGGAATAGCTAAATATCTCTAGATACATAATGGTCCTCATAAATGTGATAAACCAGTTCATGGATGCACCTAAAAGTGCCCAGAATGTTCAGGTCTTTGTGAAAAAGAATATGGTCATCCTGGACTACATGGCTCAAAGAATCATATTAACAAATAAAATTGCGTTTTCGTTTCAGATAAGAATGACCCCAAAATTCTAATCAATGACAACGGTAAAAAGAGAGAGTACAAACTTGGAGAATCATGCAATCCTGAATAATGCAGATCCTCTTGTTAAAGAAAAGGCAGAGCTCATATTCATTTAAAGAAATGCTTGGGAGGAGATCTTTGCCATGAAAAAATTAATCCTTCCTGTGCAAAACACGCACTTGAAAGGTACAAGCCGTTTATTGATGATCAATTCGATAAAATGCTCTGTTAGGATTATTGGAATTCAATGAACTGGGAATCTCCTCTTGATGAAGCTCTAATTTTAGAATCAAAATCTTGCAATTTTTATTGTGGTGATCCTGTCCATGGTGAAACAAAGAAATTCTGCTCTAATTTGGCTTGGCACAAAGGCTGTCATGTATTTAACTGTGATCACCCAATGTCAAAATCAGATGTCATTGATGTCATTTTTTGTATGGATGCTACAGGTTCTATGTCTAGTTACATTGAAGAATCTAAAAAGGTTGCAAGGAAAATCATTAACGACATCTAGAAGATGTCAAGTGAAGAAATTAAAAGGTCAATTAAATTTGGATTTATTGCTTACACTGATCATTAAAGTGATTACAAAACTAATGAAAAATCTAGAAATTTAGCTGTGACTAAAGTGTAAGCATTGACAGATGAGACATAAGTATAATCATTCATTGACACAATAAGAGCTGGAGGAGGTGATGATTATGCAGAGGCAGTATTAGATGGTCTCAATGATTCAGTAAAGAAAGTTGGTTGGAGGAAAGACTCACTCAGATTTCTGTTTCATATTGCAGATGCTCCCCCTCATGGAAAATAATTTCATAGTAGTTCTAGTGATAGTTTTCCCGAGGGTTGTCCTTGTGGTCTAGATTTCAAGAAAATTTGTGAGGAGATTAACAAAGAGAGGATAAAGTTTAGGATGCTTAAGATTGGTAATAACTTGAATCAGATGGCATCTTAATTTAGAGCAGAGATAACAGATTTTGAGGATTCAAATCTTAAAGATGCGGGTTAATTGAATATTTTAGTTTCCGATATTGTTGTAAAAGAAGTCTAAGCCCAAGATTACGAGATTATAGCATGAAATTAAAGTCAGCATTTATTAGATATAAGAGAATTATCATCTAATATTAAGCAAAGATTATATTTATTTTAGATAATTATTTAATGATTTAAATTGATTTCATAATCCTCATGAAATTGATGCTTAAGGGGTTTTGGGGTTTTGGGGTTTTGGGG